TTCCTGCTTTAGGGTTTTTATTCTAGTTCCTTTCTTATCATGGAAGGCTCTTCCCCCACAGACCCACTTGGCCAATTCTCTTTTCTCCTTCAGGTCTTGTTCTAATATAATCTCTTCAACCTGAACCTACCCCGATCATACTATTAAATATAGTGACTGATCAGGCCTTCCATCTTCCTTACGGCATTCTACTTCCCTTTCTGTCCATACCTCTTACCAACCCCTACTGCACATTACAGCATTTATTTATCTGTTTGTTTACTTCTGCTGTCTAGCTCCCTAGCATGTTATAGATTGTGAATTCCTCAACTTCCTAGAACAATGGCTGTTGCACAGCAGTTGCTTAATAAATACTCAAGCCTCTAACATCTACAGACACTGGCTATATAATGAACAAAAAGACACGGTTCTTGTGTGTGTGCATGTGTATGTATATTTCTTTATCTGACTTTAGACCATGCAAACATCTATTATTGAATGTGGTTATTTTCTTTCTTAGGACCATTGGGTGTGTCCCACACTTTAGGTAAACATCTGGATAGAATGTTTATGAGGTTTTGAAAATAAAGAAAAGTATTTCAAATCTTTGTGTTTTTTAAACATGTTTTTAACAATAGCCTTCCAAAAGTGAAAACTATTTTCAAAAACAAGTGAGTCTGTCTGTCCTTTCACTAGTAATGAAGACTTTCCTGAGTTTGTCGAGCTGGGTTGATTGTTCTATGACGAGAATGGTACCAAAGGCTACCATGTGTCTCTCATTATGAACATGACTTGGAGATTCAACACAGGACTGATTTCATTACCCAATTAAATATGAAAAATTACACAGAGGCCCAGCCATGGTGGGGCAGGCAGTAGGGTGCCACTGCACAGTGCTGGAGCCATATGAGAAAGCTCCAGGTTTGGATCCCAGGATGACCTAAACATGATAAGCATGGTTATGATCATAATCCTGGCTGGCTGAAAGACTGAGCATGGTGGCATGGTGAGACCTTATCAAGAGTGGTCCCCTGCCCCATCTGTTTATCTTTCTCTCACAAATGAAAAAAAAATTACACAGACCTGTAGCAGGTATATATTAAGTGTAGGGCCTTGAAAGCATACAAGGCCAGGCAGGTAACTCAGAGAAGAGGAGGCCAGGGGTAGGGCCATAGGGAGTGTGTGTGTGGGGTCTGGGGTCAACCTTGTCGAAAAGGAGCAACTACTGATAAACATCACATACTTTTTTGCCAAGACACCCCAGATACAAAATTATGTTTATTTTTCCAAAGGAAACCAGAAATAAGAATTTTTAAATGAAATCTCACAATTTATAAAATCGGTCAAAGAATTCTTATTAAAAAAAACGTTGGGGTCAGCAGTTAGCATAATGGCTATGTGGCTGGACTCCCATGTAGTCGACCGTGGTTCGAGTCCCAGACCCAAGTAGCTTAAATTCATACCGGGCGCGTATGCGTGCATGCCCAAGATCCCGAGAGGAGAATGGAGGAGAAGGGATTGTCCG